CCACCGCCGTCGTTCAACGTTTCGCTACCACCTTCATGTATGCAAATATGTTTACGATGGCATGACGTAACGACTATTGTTAACATATCATTGATTGTTAAGTTCATGACCTACACCACCGGCGAGGGAAAGCGGTCGCGAGGCGAAAGAATGCGGACAAACAGACGGAAATGAATCGGGAGGAAATCGCGCCATTTACACCCCCACGCCGCCTCCAAAAATATCGATTCTTATTACAGCCAAACGGAACGGCGTTAATAACACCAAAACAAATAACACAAAAATTGTCATTTCCTCAATCTTAATTTGGCAACACTGACTGGCAAATCCATAGTCAATTGTCATTCAATTCGGACGGGTTGCCAACTTAATTTCAAGTCACAGGCTACTTTGACCAGAAATGTACAGGGTGCTGCATTTTGGATGTCCGAATAGGGAATCTCCGAAACGAAGAGGTTTAGCCAAAAACGAGTAATACATTCTGGGGCTCATTTTTTGAGAAAATAGTATTGGTTAACACGGCATCCCGCTATCGTCTTTTGTTTTCGACTTATAGACAAAAATTGACATTTTAGCGAAATCTAAAAAAATTCATATCTTCGTTATTACAGAAGACACAGATTTGAAATAAAGACATTATGCAGGCAGTTTTTTACGTAGAATTTAATAATGTCGTTAACAATTTTTTTCAGTTGTTTGTTTAGCCGTAATAAGATAAACTTGTATTTTTTTAAATGGGAATCATAGATGGCTATGTCATTTTTAAAAAGCTTGGTTTTTTCTTATCTAAAAATATATATTTGTAACAAATTATTATAATACATTTTTAGCAAAAAATTATCTTTGATTTTTGTTCGCAGTTGGCCATGAAAAAATGTTGCATTTTCAACTAAAAGAATTTAAACTATATTATATTCAACCATTGTCACTAATGAAAGAGTTTTCTAAGTACTAAGTAATGAAAAAGATGCAAAATAAATTGTAAATTAACTTATTGGCGACTAATAACATTTCTTTGTTTTTAAACAAGCTAACATTACCATTGCAACTTCTAATGATACATAGAGTGTTGTAAAAAAAAGCCGCTTTAATTCTTCAATAAAATATATTTTATATGACACAATTATGACGATATGACTATTCAAATACCCAAATTCCGTTATCCTACGTTATCCTACCTCCATTAGACCATCAAAAAAATGTTTTTCTAATTGTGTTGACTGTTGACACATTTATTTTTCATATTTTTGGATTTTTTAAAATACGTAAAAATTTTGTTCTGAGGCACTCGCATATTTGTTCAATACTTCTAACGTATCGTATTTTTAAAATTTTTATAATTCTATCAATTTTTTCATCTATTTTATAGTTCACAAAACTCTTATTGATTATTATTTACACATTTGGAGTGAAATAGTTTTTCCATGGCCAACTATTATCAAACAAAATATGTATTTCACTTTCTAAGTATAGTTATAAAAAAATATTCTGTTACAAATATATATTTTTAGATCAGAAAAAAATAAGATTTTCAAAATTGCCATACCCGCCTATGATTTCCATTTAAAAAAATACAAGTTTATCTTATTTCGGCTAAACTAATAACTGAAAAAAAATGTTAACTACATTATTAAATTCTACGTAAAAAAGTGCCTTTATTTCAAATCTGTGTCTTCTATAATAACGAAGATACGAATTTTTTTAGATTTCGCTAAAATATCAATTTTTGTCTATAAGTCGAAAACAAAAGACGATAGCGGGATGCGGTTTTAACCAATATTATTTTCTCAAAAATTGAGCCCCAGAATGTATCACTCGTTTTTGGCTAAACATCTTAGTTTCGGAGATTCCCTATTCGGACTTCCAAAATGCAGCACCTAAACAAATGTCAAATAACAAAATTTTTAATCAGAGGCGTCCTAAATGGTAAAACAAATTTAATTTTTAATTTTTATGCTGTTTATGGTCTGTAACATAAATTTTTAAATCGATTTTTACTAAAAATCCGTAAATTGTATCGGAAAAACACAAAAGACTTTTTTTTATAAAAAACTATGAAATTTTGTTGCTGAAAGTGGCAAGAAACCACAGGCAATGTAGTTAGAGTAAATTTTTACCCTAATCCCATCTACTTTCGGAAACCCCTAATTAAAAATTTCAACATATAATTTTTGTACTTGTTTAGGTGTATAAAAGTTATCATCTGCCAAACTTTGAATTTTTTTTCTAAAATGATTTCGGAAATATGGAAAAAAAAACTAATAAAAAACGCACCCCTTGTAGCATAGAAAATGTTTGTTGTAAAAATGAATATTCTATCTCCTGTTTAAATTTGTAACAATAAAAAGTATTAAAAAATTATTTTATTTTTTGTTACTTGTGAGTTATTTTGTATTTTTTTATGTTTAATTAGGATTTCTTATTTCAATTTAAAATAAAAACGTGTACTTAGGGATTTTTGTTTTTTAATCCGCCTTCTTTCATTTCATTTTCATGGGCCAACAAACCCCCCCCCCCCTGAAATAAAATCCTGGTTACGGCCCTGCCCGATATCACTAATAATCAATGTTGCCAACTTAATTCCAAGTCACAGGCTACTTTGACCAGAAATTTACTTTAATTTTTCTTTTCAGTTTAACGGACTTGTAATGAAACTACCAGTACTTTTGATTTTTCCGTGTAAACAATAAGTCAGCTTGAGTGCGTACCGCAGTAACAATGCTTGCATTCATCTGCATTTTTTCAAATTGTAATAAATGTGTCAATAACCATCGAATGCATCAGCCATGTGTGTCTTTTCTCCCACTTGAAAAACACACACATGAGAAAATAAAAAATCTTGGATGCTGCCAGGCTATAAAAAATGATAATGCTATGCCATCTGTTATATCGCGTACAGTTATGAATTAAACATTGCCCCATCGCATTAAAGGGATGATCGCTTGACGTGTACAACTAAACATATCATCAAATCTGAAGCGCGGCCGCAAAAATTGTGTTGTTGGATCTGTGGGGAGGAATTAAAATAGACGTGGCATGTCAAATCGCGATTAGTAACGCGAGAAGAATGGATACGAGGGTGCCGTCATTGCCAAATAAATAATCGAATAAACACACTCCACTGAATTAATTTGGAAAGACACGCGATACACCACTACCCAAATTCGCTCATTATTTATACATTGTTGTACACCGAGGAATGATTCATTTTAGCCCCGAAAAACTCAATTTTATAAATATTTTTACATGATGGTGTAGGCAATTGGCAATTCAGACCTGTATATTGAGTTGCCTACATTTACAAATTTTGTTAATTAATCGTTATCACAGTTAATTCAAACAGTCAGTTATTTTAAAACTCGATTCCAACCAAAAGTTAATATAAAGTAGCTAAATTACAGTTTATACTCGCCCTCTAAAATTAAAAACAAACTTAGCTCAGGCTCAAACCATTCTTTTGATTACAGGACGCTACTTACATGCTTCCAGGTTGCTAGTTTTATTATTGTTAAAATAAATTAATGGCACTCTAAATTGTTAGTCTAGTTCAAGTTTTAATAAAAATAATAGCAATAAAATACCTATAATTAAAATATTAACGTTTATTTACACTCGCCCTCTAGGTGTCAGAAGCTAAACTTTAGCTCAGGCGCAACCACGTTTCCTGCAGATCGCTATAGTACCAGCGCCATCTATACATGAACAATCAAAATAAAATCAATCCCTTATCAGGATTTTTCACAAGTTGTCCGATAAGATTTAAAGTAAAAAATGCACCAAAGTTATACAGTTTTTGACATTGAATGGGGTCACAGTTATGTGTGAGTACATGTGAGTGTGAATGTTTATTTTGGTGTTTTTTTGTTTTCTTTTATAGGTATGTATTTTTTCCACATTTTTGAATTTGGGAATTGCAAAAATAGTGTTTTAAAACATAGCAAGGTTGAATGCTAAGTTGGATAATTCGATAACTATCAATGTTTGCTTTATATGATAAGAGTGCAAGACAATTATTTCATGATTGCGAAGTAGGTGATTTTTGTGTGTAAATTACGTCGTATCCAGTAAAAATAATAATAGTAAGAAATAATTATTTATTCGACGAGTTTGAGTGTAAATCGGACGGATTATCTCACCGAGTGGATTATTAAACCACGAGTGTAACGAGTGGTTTATCATCCACGAGGTGGAATAAAGCGTCCGATTTACACTCAAACGAGTTGAATACAACATTTTATTCTTCGAATTAGACTCAATAAGACTTAAACTTGCTTAAAATGTGTTAAAAATAATCTGACGTAAGAAAAACAGTAAATCTTGACAGTGTCGAAGAATAAATTAATTTGAAAGTTTTATTATTATTATTTATTTTCTTATCACAATACGATCAAAGTGCATGTGTACATAACTTGATGATAACTTGTTTAAATTTTATAATTTATGGTTGCATTAAGGATTGTTATTACGTCGTTTGTGATTTTTGTGTAAATTTAGAAATAATGATAAAGTTTGTGTAAACAAGCAAACATCATTTTTCCGATATTTTTAAAACCACACATGTGTAATAAATAATTCATCCGTTGTTATCTCACAACTTTTCGAATCACTAAAATATATCATAACCTTGAAAAATGTAGCGGAAAATGTAAAAAAAATATAATAAAATTATCTCGTCCACAATGTGCCAATGATTGAAAACATTAATAAAACATACACTTGAGTGCAGAAAAAACGCAAATTGTCAAAAACAAAATTGTCAAATTTTTCAGAGATTGACATAGTGTGAAAAAGGTTGTTCCCAAATAGGTTACAAAACTATAAAAAAAAATGTCTTATTTTGTGGTCTTGTCAGTGCAGTGTCATAGTCAATGTTAAAAACGAAATGGAAAAACTTGATAGAAATTTGGAAGATTGACAAAGACAACGTCAAAAAACTGGCATTTATTAACAGGCCAAATTACATTATAAAAAAAATCAATTTGCGTTTTTTTTGCAATCAAGTGTAAATTAAAAAAGATAACAGCGTTTATTTACTCACTTCCTTGAAACTTGTTTATTTTCAGAGTATTTTTTATCATGTTGGTAGCAGGTATGAGTAATAAGTTAATAATAGATGAAAGTGAGGTTCAAAATTTTTAATTTAGAAATAAATTTCTAATCAAATTAAGTTGGCGACACCAAAGTATCAAGTGTCAATTATTTGACTATAAAAATTTGACATTTGAATTGGATAGTTCATGTTGCCAACTTAATTCCAAGTCATAGAACACTCGATCAGATAACGCAAGTTGAGAACAGACAAATATCGATGTAAAAGATCATACTGTAAAAAAATATTTTATTTACTCGCATTTTGCAGTTTCAGTGGTTTTGTGATTATGGGAAATTATCAGCACTTTCGCAATAATAATTTGTGTACTTATTCGGTTAGATAATCGTAAAATACCGCAATTAAATTACGTATCGATTCCATTATTGTCACTAATCAGTCCGATAACTAATCAGGAATTTTAGTAGTTCCCCCATTCGAAATGGCCCTTCCTGCAGCAATTGCCTTATCCGGCTTGAATCAAGATCATTTTTTGGATGGTCTAAACGACGTCTTTGACTATGGAGCAGTCCTCCTCAAAAGCCCCAGCTTGTCCTCAATTGCCTCCTCCACCGACTCGCAGGAAAGTGGCATTTCCTCAATGTCGAGCGGTACTTCCGTCATACAAAATCTGGCACCCTACTTCAATATGCTCTTCAACACGTCACAAATCGAAATAAAGGTAAACAAGAGGCCGTGTTGCCAGATCAAAAACATAAAACTCACCACATCCGAATTGAAAAATTTGCAAAATTTTTACTAGATTACGATTTGTATGGCAAAATCTCGCAAAAAAACACAATTTTTAGCTTAAAAATCTGCTTAAACTCTTGAAAAAAAGCAAAAATGACATACCTTTAGGCCTAATTCTGTGATTTTTCGGCTTGTTTTCAACAAAATTTTGCGAAATAATTACGTTTCTAGCTAAAAAAAACGTGCTAAAACACTCTAGAAGCAACGTTTTTAAACACTCGAAAAAGACAAAAACGCCGTTGCTATTTTGTTGAATTTGTGGCTTGTTTTTGCAAAATAATTGTGTTTCTAGCTGCCATTTTTGACTCTGTTTAGTAATTATATTGTAAAAAACAAATAGAACTATTTTAACCCATTTGGTGTTTTCGATTATATTTTCTTCGAGAAAATTTGACGAAATAATCAAGTAAAGTCTAAGAGTTAGATAATTTAATTTTTTTTATAAAAATTTAGTGATTTTTGACACGCTATGGCAAATTATCACGAAAAAACAGAGTTCTCAGCTTAAAAATCTGCTTGAAATTTCGAAAAGGGAAAAAATTATATCATTTTGGGCCTAATTCTGTATTTTTTGCCTTGTTTTTTAACCAATTGTGCAATATAATTTGTGAAAAACATGCTAAAATTCTCAAGAAATGCAAAATTAATGTAATTTTCGACTTGATATCTTGATTTTTCCGTTCGTTTTAGCCTAATTCTGTGATTTTTCAGCTTGTTTTCAACAAAATTTTGCGAAATATTTGC